GAGGAACTTTTGGGTCATTCTTTGGGCAATTTTGGTGGGAATTTTTGGTAATTTGGAGGTGTTTTGGGGTCTGCTGACCACCGAGTGGTCACTCTGCCGTTGTCCACCGCAGGGTCAGCCAACAGCACCGCGTCAACCTGATGACCAGCGAGAACCTGTCCATCTGCTTCTGGCCCACGCTGATGCGGCCGGACTTCAGCACCATGGACGCGCTGACGGCCACCAGGACCTACCAGACAATCATCGAACTCTTCATCCACCAGTGCCCCTTCTTCTTCTCGCTCCGGCCACCGCCGGACACGCCCGGCTCGCCCGGTCCCGCTCCGGCCACCGCCACGTCCTTCCCGCCCTTGCCGCCGTCACCTCCTCGGACGCCGTCGCCGCCGCCGGAGCCGCTGGAGCCCTGAGGGCGGCCTGGGGAGTGACCGCTGGGACGTCCGGCCGGACGCGATGCGGGGGGGCTCGGACATTGCCGGGGACGTTTGTCCAGACTTTGGCCAGGCCGGACGGACGGACGGACGGATGGACGCGTCCGCCACTGGGGAGGGGCTGGAAGAGGGTGAGGGTTGTCCATGCGGTGGCCTGAGGGTCATCCAAGGTAGTCCAAGGGTCATCCAAAGTGGCCTGAGGGTCATTCGAGGTGGGCCAGGGTGGCCTGAGGGTCACTCCAGGTGGTCCACGGTGGCCTGAGGGTCATCCGAGGTGGGCCAGGGTGGCCTGAGGGTCATTCAAGGTGGGCCAGGGTGGCCTGAGGGTCATCCGAGGTGGGCCAGGGTGGCCTGAGGGTCATTCAAGGTGGGCCACGGTGGCCTGAGGGTCATTCAAGGTGGGCTGGAGTAGTCCATAGTGGCCTGAGGGTCATTCCAGCTGGTCCAAGGCTCATTCCAGGTGGTCCAAGGGTCATCCAAGGTGGCCTGATGGTCATTCGGGGTGGGCCAGGGTGGCCTGAGGGTCATTCAAGGTGGGCTGGAGTAGTCCATAGTGGCCTGAGGGTCATTCCAGCTGGTCCAAGGCTCATTCCAGGTGGTCCAAGGGTCATCCAAGGTGGCCTGACGGTCATTCGAGGTGGGCCAGGGTGGTCTGAGGGTCATTCAAGGTGGTCCAAGGGTCATCCAACATGGTCCAGGGTGGCCTGAGGGTCGTTCAAAGTGGGCCAGAGTGATCCAAGGTGGTCCAAGGGTCATCCAAGGTGGTCCACGGTGGCCTGAGGGCATTCGAGGGGGTCCAAGGGTCATTCAAGGTGGTCCAATGGTCATCCAGCATGGTCCACGGTGGCCTGAGGGACATTGGAGGTGGGCCAAGGTGGCCTGAGGGTCATTCAAGGTGGACTGGAGTAGTCCATGGTGGCCTGAGGGTCATTCCAGGTGGTCCAAGGGTCATCCATGGTGGTCCACAGTGGCCTGAGGGTCATTCATGGTGGTCCAAAGGTCATCCAAAATGGTCCAGGGTGGCCTGAGGGTCATTCGAGGTGGGCCAGGGGTGATCCAAGGTGGTCCAAGGGTCACTCAAGGTGGTCCACAGTGGCCTTGAGGTTCATTCCAGGTGGTCCAAGGGTCATCCAAGGTGGCCTGAGGGTCATTCCAGGTGGTCCAGGGTGGCTTGAGGGACATTCCAGGTGGTGCAACGGTCATCCAACGTGGTCCAAGGTGGGCCAGGGTGGCCTGAGGGTCATTCACGGTGGTCCAAGGGTCATTCAAGGTGGTCCAAGGGTCATCCAAGGTGGTCTAAAGGTCAACCAGCGTGATCCAGGGTGGCCTGAGCGTCATCCAAGGTGGGCCAAGGGTCATCCAAGGTGGGCCAGGGTGGCCTGAGAGTCATTCAGGGTGGTCCAGGTTGGCCCAAGGAGATCCAAGGTGGTCCAACATCCATCCAAGGTGGCCCAAGGTGGTTGAAGGTCTGGCCAATGTCATGCAAGGTGGCCCCAGGTTTTTCACCCAAAAATTCAATTTTTTTTTCCTTAAAAAATCCAGGTTTTTCTCCAAAAAACCCCATTTTTTTTTCCCCAAAAATCAAGTTTTTTCCCCAAAAATATTTTCAGTTTTTCCCAAAAAAAATTCAGTTTTTTTCCCCAAAATAAATTCAAATTTTTCCCCCAAAATTTTAAATTTTTCCCCTAAAAATTCAGATTTTTTTTCTCAATAATTCAGGGTTTTTCCCCAAAAATGAGATTTTTTTTTTCCTAAAGAAATTCAGGTTTTTCCCCCCAAAAAATTCAAATTTTTTCCCCAAAAACCCCCAATTTTTTTACAAAAAAATTCAATTTTTCCCCCCCCAAAAAGTCAATTTTTTTCGAAAAGAAATTAAATTTTTCCCCCCAAAAATTCAAATTTTTTACCTAAAAAATCCGTTTTTTTCCCATAAAAAATGCGATTTTTCAGCTGGAAATTTTGGGTGAATTTTGGGGGATTTTGTCACAAAAAAAGATGAAAAAATTGGGGAAAAAACCTCAAAAAATTCAATTTCTTTCCCATAAAAAATCCGATTTTTCAGGGGGAATTTTGGGGAATTTTGACACCAAAAAAAGATGAAAAAAATTGGGAAAAAAATGCAAAAAAATTCCATTTTTTCCCATAAAAAATCCGATTTTTCAGGGGGAATTTTGGGGAATTTTGACACCAAAAAAAGATGAAAAAAATTGGGAAAAAAATGCAAAAAAATTCCATTTTTTCCCATAAAAAATCCGATTTTTCAGCTGGAATTTTGGGGAATTTTGCCACCAAAAAACGTGAAAAATTTGGAAAAAAAATTCAATTTTTTTCCCAAAAAAAAATCCGATTTTTCAGCTGGAATTTTGGGGAATTTTGCCACCAAAAAACGTGAAAAATTTGGAAAAAAAATTCAATTTTTTTCCCAAAAAAAAATCCGATTTTTCAGCTGGAATTTTGGGGAATTTTGCCACCAAAAAACGTGAAAAATTTGGAAAAAAAATTCAATTTTTTTCCCAAAAAAAAATCCGATTTTTCAGCTGGAATTTTGGGGAATTTTGCCACCAAAAAACGTGAAAAATTTGGAAAAAAAATTCAATTTTTTTCCCAAAAAAAAATCCGATTTTTCAGCTGGAATTTTGGGGAATTTTGCCACCAAAAAACGTGAAAAATTTGGAAAAAAAATTCAATTTTTTTCCCAAAAAAAAATCCGATTTTTCAGCTGGAATTTTGGGGAATTTTGCCACCAAAAAACGTGAAAAATTTGGAAAAAAAATTCAATTTTTTTCCCAAAAAAAAATCCGATTTTTCAGCTGGAATTTTGGGGAATTTTGACACCAAAAAAAGATGAAAAAATTAGGAAAAAAAATGCAAAAAAATTCAAATTTTTTCCCCCAAAATTGGGAATTTTTCCCATAAAAAATCCGATTTTCAGGGGGAATTTTGCCACCAAAAAACGTGAAAAATTTGGAAAAAAAAATCAATTTTTTTCCCAAAAATTGGGGTTTTTCCCCAAAAAAATCCGATTTTTCAGGGGGAATTTTTGGGTGAATTTTGGGTGATTTTGACACCAAAAAAAACGTGAAAAATTTGGAAAAAAAATTCAATTTTTTTCCCAAAAATTGGGGTTTTTTCCCCCCAAAAAAAGCGATTTTTCAGCTGGAATTTTTGGGGGAATTTTGGGCAATTTTGTCACCAAAAAATGTGAAAAATTTGGAAAAAAAAAATCAATTTTTTTCCCAAAAATTGGGGTTTTTTCCATGAAAAATCTGATTTTTCAGCTGGAATTTTTGGGGGAATTTTGGGCAATTTTGTCCCAAAAAAAGATGAAAAAATTAGGAAAAAAAATGCAAAAAAATTCAATTTTTTTCCCAAAAATTTTGGGTTTTTTTCCCGTGAAAAATCCGATTTTCAGGGGGAATTTTGGGGAATTTTGACACAAAAAACCGTGAAAAATTTGGAAAAAAAATTCAATTTTTTTTCCCAAAAATCGGGTTTTTTCCCCCAAAAAAATGCGATTTTTCGGCTGCCGGAGCCTCCGGAGGGAATTTTGTTGCCGGGAGGGGAAAACCGAAGGAAAATCCTCCCAAAATTGGGAATTTGGAGCCGTTTTTCCCCAAAAAAATGAAAATTTCGGGGCCGTTTTCCCTCCTTTTTGGAAATTTTGGGCCAGAATTTGGAAATTTTGGGGGATTTTGGGCCAGAATTTGGAAATTTTGGGCCAGAATTTGGAAATTTTGGGGGATTTTGGGCCAGAATTTGGAAATTTTGGGGATTTTTTTGGGTTTTTTTCTTGTGGATTTTGGGTTTTTTCCCCCGATTTTATTTTTTTGGATAATCCCTAAAAAAAACAAAAAATGGGAAATGGAGGAATTTTGGAGGCGCCGTAAGTTATTGTTGGGATAATTAATAAAAATTAATTAAAAAATAACCCAAAAAAATCCGAATTTCCACCAAAATTTTTGTCGCAAAAATTCGGAATTTTTGGGGATTTTTTTGGCTTAAAAATCCCCAAAAAAATCCGAATTTTCGCAGAAATTCCCGCTGTTTTAAGGACGTTCCCAAGGGGATTTTTTGGGGGATTTTTTTGGGAATTTTTTGGGAATTTTTGGGATTTTTCCCGGGAAATTTTTTCGGGATTTGGTGCATGAGGAAAAGGCCCGGAATTGGCGGGAAAAGGAAAAACGGAAGGAAGAGAAAAAAGGAGAAAAAAGGAGAAAAAAATGAAAAGAATTGCGAGTCAAGGCTGCGGAGTGCTCTTTGCTTAATTAATTCATTAGCGGGGGAATTCATTAATTGGGGGTTGAGTAACTGGGGTTGGGAAATTGGGGGTAATGGGGAAAGGCCGGGGTTTGATT